TTTGTTTTACCTAAAGTTTTAAAGTGTAATTAATAAAAATCATAAATTATAGAACAATTTAGGTTAGCTTGGATTAGGTATAACTCTAGGAAGGCAAAATAAACTAACGGTACAATTATTCATATTGTTTATTCTAGTCGGATTAACCCTCATTACCTTAAAAATATGTTTATTCTAAAAATTTCTTTCACTTTTATTAAATTAAATTAATTTCACAATTGATAATACCATTTGAAATCCTCGATCCATATGCAGAGGTGTCAGACATTCTTTTTCTTCATAATATTTAGAAAATAAGACCAATAAATTTGCGTTTGAGGGCTGCTTTCCTGCCCTTTATGGTCAATGCTTTAGTCTGCATGCACATTATTTATATATTCTAACCAATAAAAGTGGTGTAAATTATCACTAGTTCGCTGATACCAATATCATTGACAGTTTATTCAATTATTTTAGATTATGAATTGCCAAAGGCCTAATCTGATCTTTATTAATCGATTTAAGCAGTTTCTTAAAATAAAGATTTGGATCGCTCACATACTTACCATACAATTCAGCTTGGCATGTGTATTTTTAAATGAATTTTGCCCCAATAAAACAAGACTAATAGGCCAATGCTTATTCTTGTTGTGAAAGTGCGCATGAATGAAGCCGTATCAAATTCGCTAAGTTCCACCGAACAGGTTACCCTCGAAAATTGTAACCTATATATAATTAGCTATCAGTGTATACAAATACTTTGTTTAAGGGAGGATTTTATTAAAATAGACTGGATTCAATTGTTAAATTCTACTTCCTGATAGCTATTCAGAGGTGATACATCTTTTGTACTGAATAGCAACTCTCACCTCAACCTCTTTCAATGTAAACTTTCCCATCTTCTCTCATTCTCACATTAACTATCAATTTACATGTATTTCTGGTTGGCCTTGGGCCAAATGCAGTTAGACATGGCTATTTTCCAAGGAGAGGAACGAATGCTCCAATATTTTACAACTGCAAATAAGTATTGGCCAAAAATTTCAGTTCGTAGCAAGTCTTGATATCAGAATTCGCTTATAAATATTGAAAAGCCTAGTCCCACATCCTTATACACTGGGATAACTACCGCTTTGAGTATAAAATAAACACGTACTTAATTTATTCTTTTCCGGAAACCCTTGACTATTTCTATTAATCATTTGAGGCAGAAACATCCAAACAATGGAATATATACTTGACTATAGATCGTAAGTAAACTGAAAAAAATCCCAGAAATTGATCTGTATAAACAGTTTTTTCACATCCAGTTATCTTGAATAACTATGGTTTTCAAAGGTCCGAATTCTGAAAATTTGGCTACAAAACAGTGAAAAGCAGCAAAATTAATGTATAGCAATGCAAGCTTCATTTTGTTTCATTGCATTTTGCCAAAGTCGCGGAAGTAAATTTACACTCCAGACATTGTGATCTTTTTGATGGACACATACACTTTTTTTGAATAAGTTATGCAATTCTCATTTAATTTAACGTATGGTTTTCGCACAATTGTTGGTAATAAGCTTGCTTTTTCTTTATAGTTACGCAATACCAGAACTTTGCGCGGGAACACCTGATTGGACTGGACCTTAAATGTTGTGATGGGTAAGCCTCAGGCTGTAAAAAATAACACTACATTAATTGCTTATCACTTAAAGTAAATTTATATGGATTATCAATTTGTTTATGCTTGTGTTATTTCTTTTATATCTTATGGTTTTTGTAGTTTTCTTGGATTCAGATGTGGAACCACGTAGTTTTTTATGAGAGTATAAATATTGTCGTTTAATTGGGAGTTCATGTCTGTCTCTTTAGCATTATTATTTGGTTTCTTTCGAAGAGCAAATTCACGAGCTTCATTGAGTATCAAAACTACTGTTCATTAAGAAAAGTTTCACTCTTCAAGCATGTTTATTAAATACGTATGTTCAGTGCATGCAAAAACTTTCGCATTAAATTCCACTTTAAAAAGGCCTTAATTCTCCCATCACTTTTATTCCCGACATATTATGTTAGGGTAAACATTCTAAGTTCTTCTCTAGCCAGCTATGGCTTCATATTGGTGCCCTACTAAAGTTTGCCTAAATTGGTACAGATTCTTGTCATGGCATTGCAAATGAGATACTGTCGGAGAATACTTTAAATGAATCCGTGATTTTTCGCATTTGAAGCAGAAAACTTAAAATGTTGTCTGTCGTGTAGGAGACACCGAGAGTGAAGTAAAATGAAGTAGCAACTTCAAGAAAATCCTCCTTATTGTGGTGAAATATACATACGAGTATCTTTATTGCGCATTTTCATCAACGTTGATATATCAGAAGATCCACCAGCTAGTCTTCGAGCGTTCGACATTTACGGTATTTTTTGACGCAACGTTCAACACTGACTCTGCTTGACAGTGGGGCTTGCCTAGCAGCATAATGGAATTTAGGCTTGCTACTTGTAGAGCAGCAAGTTTTGCTACATGTCTCGTAAAGGTCTTTTTTCTATGGCAAACTAGCAGAGAGTTTAGTCTTATAGACTGCTTAGTTCTTTGCAGAGAAACGCTTTAATGGGCCATACCCTCTTTTAAAAGCCATGGATAATTTAGTATGAGTAAACCATTCACTATTTACTGAAAGTTTGTGAATGAATTTACATAATAGCCTATCAATAAAATGCTTAGGCTTAGAAACTCTAGATAGATCTTGGACAAGCATTTTACTTAGAACCTGACAGTTTTGAGACAAATTCATCCGGTGTAAAGTGAGTTTTCCGATTTTAATGGCAGATAGCAATTTGTCTGGCTTGCTACAAAAGTCTGCCCCGGTACCCAATCAGACTGGTGGTTATACTACAATTGTCATTTGACGCTAAGGACATGGATTCTATTCCTGTTTGCAGTCCAGACTAGGCAGTCTAGACTGCGCCCCGTGGCAAAAATCACCATAACAAGGGTGCATTTTTTCTAAAATAACTTCCCAAAAGCACAAGAATGATTTCTTGTTGTATACTTACCCATTATCTTTAACCCAATTTTGAACCTTTATGAGGTCTCTCGCGATGTGGCTGGTTAATTAATCATCCATTGACTTGCTTTCCTATACCCCAAGTTGGTGAGGAAGTCACTGAGCACGTGCTTTACATGGAACACCAGACTCAAAGGTTTAGGGGATACGTAGAATCTCCGCTGCGTAAAGGACTAATATGTCCATTTCTACAATCACTGCTCCAATAAATATAAATAACCACTTTCGGAGGGTTTTGCAGGAATTAAGCCAAAATTATTTTCCGTCAAAATTGTCTTAAGGGATGCAAATTCAATAGCGTGAAAAGTTTAAGGAATTTTATGAAACCTAGGTTTTAAATGTATTTACCAGCGTTTTATTTAAAGAGGCAATTATGACTGTGACTTTCTGCGCAACTTTATGATTAATTATTGCAGTATCCAGTCCAATAAAAGTTCATTTGTTTCATTAAAGTTTCGGGGATTCAGAACAGCGATGGATCCACTTATCCCAGAGAATGAAAAGGCTGATTCTTCATTATCACACTCAAATTTAATCTTCCTATGAGTAGAATAATTGTAAATGTTAGACATTATTGACAAATATTGACAATAAGTTTCGCAGAAATTAATATAATTCGCATGCTTTACTTGCTTATATATCGTTTTACCTCCGCGTTTGCCCTTTTTGGTGATGAATAAGAGTTCCACTCATGATAGGTCGCATAATTGAATTTTCCCAAAATCATTTAATTATGCCCCTCCCAAAAGGCATTATTGTCCCTACTGGACTGGACTGCGGTTTCGACCTCGCTTCAACTGATCTCATTCCCATCGCACTGGGAATTTGAGTCCGATCTGTGCTGGTTCACGGTACCGCTGAGCCAGACTGCCGCCAGTCCCACTATGTCACAGAGCAGACGTGCATACACATTTGCCAGTTCTGCGGTGAGATTGTCGAAAGGGCATACTTTTACTTAGTTGAGCTCACTGCCCTTTGGATTGGAAGCGTTTGGTGGCGAGATTCGAAGGTGGGTCCCACTGGAAGACAACGGCGGATTTCTCTTGACCAGCTGTAGATTTGCGTTACTCAAACATTCTTGCTCAGGCTGTTTCGTCTGCCCCATAACGGAGGCAATCAGAGCAGGGTGTCTTCGTTACAACCCTCTTCAAGCCAATGAGTCAAGGAAACTCACCTGCTTACCCTTATACCCATACCCCAAATCTAGACTCCTTGATGAGGCATTAAGTGATTTGGTTGGCTCAACTTTTGCGTCAACCTCGAAGGATATCGACGTGTCTGCCTGTGTGTGTTCACATCTGTACGAAACCAGCTGTGGTGGCTCAAAGGGATTAGAATGAAACGTAATGTCTGTTCTCGATCATCAAGTTTGTTGAGCACCATCATCTCTTTTTCTCTCCATTCTAACCATCCTTCCATCCATCACCTCCACATTAGCATCGGTGGGGTAGTCTGTCGGGCCAGACGGCAAAATGTCTGCCTCCGCACCAGCACCCACATCATTGCGACCCTTCCGGAGATGCTGATGAGACATGATAGAGGTAGGGGCTTACGTCTAGACAGGATACAAATGCGCTTCTGGGTTTCGTTACATCGTGCAATTGACTAGCAGAATCATTGGGATGGGCATCAGTGCATGGGTTTGCTACTGAGGAGGACTCTGACTGTTTGTGAAACAGGTTCGACGGCATTGTACGTGTTCTAGCGCCGAAGACAATGAGATGTTGGCTAGTTTTAGAAGCAGAGCCGCAACAGAGAAATTCTGATTTTTACTTATGCTTTTCATTTTTTCCATTCACCCCCGCTTCCCACCTTTGCCCGGCCTTAAAGGGTAGTTGGTGTCGGCGGAGACGGGCTCTTCTCTGAGCTGGTGCACGGAGTCCTCTTCAACCAACGCTTCCATAACAACCTCCCGCTGCGCCGAGGCCATCTGCCCGCCGCCGTAGAACTCCCGGCTCCACTACGTCTGGGCATGATTCCAGCCGGTAACTCGATGTCAGAATGTATTCATTTTTACACTTTTCCATTTGCCTATCTTCCATACGTCTTCACAATTCTCACAGGCTGATCAACCCAATTCAGCGAAATCGAAGGTATGAACTGTGGCTTCTGCCTTGGTACCCGTCTTCTGTCGCTGTAAGGATCCGGTATTGCGTATAGTCGTTCATACACACATACACACACACACATTCAATTAAAAAAACTATGACCAGTATGAAAGAGAAATAGCCTAATCATTCTCTATCTATCTAGCTATATATGTCTACACATATTCGTTTTTAGTTATGAATGTATATAAGACGTAAAAGAAAGTCCAGTCTTAACTTGAGACTTTTACGAGAAGGAGTTCCAGCTCTGATGCTGTCTGTCATTTGATGGACTAAAGCTCGGTCTAAAAGTTGTTTGACCTTGTTTTCGCAATTTGGTCATATTGAAAGGAAGACGTAGAGGAAATTGCCTTGTCCCGAATCCAAAGTATGCATGCGAATTTACAGAGTCGGATCGTGGACTTGCTACATTGCCAGTGAGTTTCGCCATTCTCAGCAACACTTTCAGCTACAACTCGTCAAAGAGACAAGTGAAGTCGATCCCTTGACCTTCTGTTTCCCTAATCTTCCGTTTCTTTGCGTTTTTA